AGCTACTAAGACTAGAGTTTTTTACACTTAGGTATAATACTACTTTAGTAAGTATAGTGTAATTCCTTAGTATGTAGGCTAAGGATCTTACAGTTATAAACATACTAGATCACCTAATACAGGTACTAGATAGTACTGGGTCACGTGCTAGATACTACTAGGTATTAGAATCGGGTTTAGTCCCTTAGTACTTATATATAGTATATAGCTCTAATATTCCTAGTATAGCTATTATCGATTCTTATATAAATACCTACGTACTTATAACAAATAGCAGCTTAACATGTCTCGACACTTTAGCTAAGACGGTGTAGCGAACTAGCAAATTGTTGTTTAATATCATTTATTAAGACATCACAAACGGACTGGAAGAGAATGGACTCTTTTTGCCTACTACTGTAGCGAATCCGGAGTTACCTTTTGTGACAGCAATATGCGCGAGCTACCAACACCACCTCAGCATTGTGTGGCGAGAATGTCACGGTGCTCCAGCACATCGAAAACCACACGCTCGAGCTCAACTCGGTTGCCGCCAAAGTCAGTTCCCGCAGACATGCTGGTTCAATACATGTCAGATCTACACTTCAGTATAGCTTCAATTCCTGATGCCTACCGATGACTTGGTGACAAGGCCGGAATTGATATGAGCTCGGGAGAACCGCTGATATGTCAGGTGCTTTCCAAAAGAATTCACGGTATTTGCTCCTAACCCTAGTTTCCACCGCTGAGCCACTGTCTGGAGTCAAAGTCATAGCCCATAGTCCTTCCAGTCTCCGCTATGATGACTACGTGTCTACCGGTTGCCCGGGGCCATTGTGACTGTGGCACCAATTGATTGTCTCGAGTCCGATAGGAGAACTGTCTCAGGCTTGTGGAGAATGCCCAGAAGCTTTGCGTCTGGCCGGTTGGCGTCGGTGATGTTTGGCCAGTTGAACCAGAGGATGAAACGGATGGTGTGGATAATGTTGCACGGGCTTGTTGGTTGAAGTCGGTACTGTCCTTGAGCTTGTCCTCGACGTACAGGTATACCTTTTGGTTTTGCAACACGCCGATCACCGTACCAGCTGCAGGATTTGACCGATCCGAAGCTTTCGCTATGTCGTATTGCGCACATTTCATAGGCATTCCCAGCGATGCAAAGTGTTGCCTGGCGATTTCAAGCTTCTCAGGCATCGCTATTTGGCCGTCGAATCTCCCGAAAATTGCCCAGGACGTTGTTTGGGTTGGGAATCGTGATTTGTTTTGGTTGTACAGCTGATGGACCTCGTCCAATATGCTTTTGAAGTGAGCTTCTCCTTCGCCCTTAACGACAGGCCGCTGACTGCTGCTACCAAGAGGGTGCGGTGGCAACGGTGCAATATGGGCAAGGATAATTGCCCCTGCACCGAGTATGGCGATGCCACTGCACGAGTTCAGGTTTCTAGTGCCAATTGCAACAGGACCTTCCGGCAGTAGTATCTTCGCTGTGTCTATCTCGACTTCCAGGAGCTGGCCTGCGTTTTTTAACTGGATAAAACGATTTGTAGCCATTGAAATAATGTAGAAGGGCTCGAGCTGAATTGTTCCAGAATAGGTACTGGGAAGACGCCATCTCTTACTTATATGACAGAGCGATGAACACTGCAGAAGCGCCGTGCAGTAAAGGGTGGAACGGCAAAAGGCAGGACAGGACAGGACAGAGCGGAGTAAGCGAAGTGTGGAGCCGCGCAGAGCTATTAATAATAAGGAGACGTGGACCCTGCGATCTCTTGGCGCGAAAGCTCAAAAGCCTGTCGTCCGCCTTACTCCTTGACCTTGTATCTTCAATCTACCAAAAGCCATGGCCGACTTTTCTGCAATCTTCGAAAAATCGCCTTACAAGTCTCTATACAGGTGCATTGACATGTATCCGGAAGATGCGTTGCAGGTCGCATTTGCGGACTTTCGGAAACAAAAGCCCACTGTGGCTGTCTCGCCCTTGTTGCATTATTGCGTCCAACAGGAGAAGCTTGCGCCTTTCATTGAGCTATTAAAGTCTGGAGTTGGTCCTGATGAGGACGTTGTCGAGGCTTCCGCTCTCAAGGAGAATAAGAGCTTTCTCTTCGGACTCTTGGAACACGGCTGGCCCATCGACCACACTCTACAAGGTGGAAGGGTGCCATCTTTGCTTTGGTAAGTGCGCCTCGTGCTTACCGCCCCACAGAGCCTGACTGCTTTCCCACAGCCTATTGATCGACCAACCGGAACTCGTCAAGGAACTTTTACAACGCGGCGCGAGCCCGAACGCCATGTCAACGTCAGGTGAGACGCCGTTGTCCGTGGCTGTACAGGCTGGTTCACCCGCCACGATCAAGATGCTGCTAGAAGCTGGAGCAGATGTTCAGGATGGAGATGTTCTGCACTACGCTGTCGAACGCGAAGGGGACGATCTTGAAGTTATGCGGCTGCTTCTGTCTTGCAATGCACCGGTGAACGCTATTCAATTCGGACATCCTAACGCTCGCCGCTTGAGACACTCCCTCTTGAGGGGCACGCCGCTTCACAAAGCTTGTCTTCTGGGCAAATACGAAGTAGTGGATCTGCTGCTAACACATGGCGCCGACCCCAGTAGCACGCGAATGAGGGGATCGCAAATTGAACTGACTACTCCGTTGGATATCGCAAAACAGCAAGGATATCAAAGTATAATGATTCTCCTCGAGCGTTGCGGACGGAGAAGTCATTCGTAAGAAGATATGCCTGCCATCATTGCTAGATAGATAGGATGAATGCGAGTCTCGAGCCATGCGCTGTGTTACTATTTCTGAACGATACATCCCTCCACGACACAGTTCATAATATGCAAGTGCCATTTCAGCCTAACGGATGCAAGGTTAGATCATAAAGGAATCCAAAGAGCTGCCGCTCACCTGTTGTAGGTGTTGGTTTTAGTCTGTACACAGCTAGCCACAACATCTGAAACATTAGAGTCAAGTACGCATATAGCATAGGCAGATGCGTCGGTTGATGGAAAAACCCACGTTAACGCTCGACGGTACAATGACAACGTCCTGATTCACGTGGCTTGGGGGTACTGGATGCTCTTTCGCCATTCATTACTAGCGTGCTCTCTACAACCCTTATCGGACATACTTATCTTAGCGGCTCAAGGCTGGAACGATTTAGTATGTACTACACTGTAGTCTCGCATTAGTGCTGTCGGTCAGTGACTTATGCCTGCTACTAAGGAGCTCCGGATCTACATAACGGACATTTTAGTTAGGATTTCAGGATTTCAGGATTTTAGGATTTCAGGATTCTAGGATTTCGGATTTGCGGAGGAAGTCTTAGCAATGC